TGCTACATACATGGTCGGTATAAGAAAGTCAAACTCAACATAAGTACTTATCTACTGCAACTACGTGCTCGTCCAGGAGGAGTGAATGTTGTAAGTCAATGACTTGATGCTGGATTTCCTGAAAAATAAACTTTTTAAAGGGACAGTATTATGCAAAATCAACTTTCCAGAGCTTTACATTATGCTATAATCCTACTGCCTCATCCAAAACATACCTACATTCAAAACCCTTGGGAGGACCTAAGTCGCCTTTGAGGCGCATATCTTCCTCAGAGTTGCAGCTTCCAATCTTCTGCCTCACAAAGCACCTCTTCCCAGAACAATCCCATCAGCTCCTTCAGAGTGGTGTAGTTCCACCACTCATGGTGGAACTACATATCAACTGTGCTCATTATAGAAGCTACATCTCAATGCAACGCTGGTAAAAATGTTGTTCGTATGTTAATAGACAAGCAATGTTACATTGAAGGTGGAGTGTTGGAAAGAGCAAGAGTTTCTTAAAGAGTCAAAGACCCAATTTCAAGGGGTTAAATTATGAAGTCGCATTTGTTTTTAAGCCATACTTGATACAGCATTTTTATAACAAATGAAGTTAACATAGCTACTTGATTATTCTATAAAATGGCACTGTGTGCCTGGAAAATATATAATATTGCCCCTTCAAACTAATTTGGGTAATTAATGACTTGATGCACTGTTCGATAACTTGAATCAACTGGAATGTATGTGTAACTGAACTGAACTAGCTTATTTTGTAAAGTACCATGAGACAACATTTGTTGTTAATTGACACTATGAAAATAAAACTGAAGTGAGCAACTTTGTATAAACACTGCTTGTTATGGTCTCAGTCTCTGCAGCACACTGTCTCACCTGTCTTCCGAAGTGGGAAGTCATCTTTGCCCTCGTAGTTTCCGAGAAGAGGGGGGAGTTTGTAGGAGGAAGGGGTTCCAGGGGTGTTACTCTGAGGGGGGGAGCTTTGCTCTAGAGACTTGTGCTGGCCTCCCCTGCAGTTACAACACATACATTAGATAACTGACACCACTGCTAATGCTGATTTTCTAGTAACATTCTTAGTATATGTTTCTTTGAGTTCATTATTTCCTAGAAACATTTGCTGTTGCAGTAAGCATGAAATAAATTCCACCATGTCTCTTCATCCCGTAATTTTCTCCTGCAGTAAAGTTAATGCTGAATGGGTTTAGGCCAGAGGTGTCCAAAGTGGGTCCTGGAGGGCCGGCATCCTGCATGTTTTAGTTCTCTCCCTGGTTTAACGCACCTGGATCAAATGATGGCTGTTAGAAGGCCTAACAGGAACATTGACAAGCTGAAAAGGTTGTTATTATGAAAGGGCAGAGAACTAAAACATGCAGGACGCCGGCCCTCGAGGGCCAACTTTGGGCTCCCCTGGTTTAGGCAAAAGGCCAGTGAACTGTTACCAGAAGCTGCCGGGGCATCTGAAACTGACCAAACATGACATTAACTCACTGCAGTTCCGCTGAGGCAATGAGGCTTTATTACATCTGTTCACTTTTACAAACTTGAAGCAGTGACACATTTTGGAACAGACTTCCGACATGAAGAAGAAAGTCAAATGACAGCAGGTTTATTGGTGTGATGACAAATAAACTTGTCATCACAAGTTAACTTTACTTGAGGAAGATAAAAGTAAAATCCAGTGGCTAGTGACTGAAAAACAGCTGATTGGTAATGGGCTGCAGCTGAGAACAAACAAGAAAACTAGGAAAATAAATCTAATTGTAACAAAGACTAACCAAATACAGGATCTACATAATAAAAATAAATAACTGAAGTTACTATCTTTGAACCTAAAGAACTATCTAGAGTCATTGCACAGCTTCAGTTATTACAACAAAAAACTACTCAGATAGCACACGATGGCAATTCAATGTTGAATTATAGTCAGAATGGTTCAATTTTTGTTGAGGTCGACAAATGACAGTGGATCAACCATCAAACAATCATCCAACTGTAGCCAAGTAACCAATGTTGAAACTGTGTCATTGAATCAATGTTGTTTTGTGGTTGGAATCTAATGAATGAAATGCTGATGTCTGATCAAAACGGGATCAATGTTGCATCAATGTTGAATCAATGTATGCTGTTTGTTGCACCCTTCCCATCTTTTCCACCTCTTCTGAGCTCTGGGTGAGAGCATTTTATTATTGAGCAGGGGATAATCAATTAAATTAAGCACTATATTGAGAACAGTGGGTTGATTCCTTCCTGTACTTTTCTTACTTGTCTGTAAATATTATTACTGACTGTGCATATTTTGTTGACACAAAAACATCTACAACTTACAAGGAGTGAAGCACTCCACCCCCACTATGTACATGAGTGGGATGTCCCAAACACACAGCCACTTCTCTGTTGGCTTGTTTGCAAAATATGTTAATTTAATGTTGAATTATCAAAAAATGTAAATATAATGAAAAAATGTATTTTAATCAGTCAAAAAGTGAAACTTGTATATTATATTCATTCATTACAAACAGACTAATATATTTCAAATGTTTTTTTTTTATTTCTTTTTATGTTGATGATTATAACTCACAACTAATGAAAACCCCAAATTCGGTATCTCAGAAAATTGGAATGTTACTTTAGACCAATACAAAAAAGGATTTTTAGAAATCTTGCAAAAGTGTGAACATGAAAAGTATGAGCATGTTCAGCACTCAGTATTTAGTTGGTGCTCCTTTTGCCCAAATTACTGCAGCAATGTGGTGTGACATGGAGTTGATCAGTCTGTGGCACTGTTCAGGTGTTATGAGAGCCCAGGTTGTCCTGATGATGACCTTCAGCTATTCTGACTTATTGGGTCTGGTGTATCACATCTTCCTCTTCACAATAGCCCATAGAGTTTCTATGGAGTTCAGGTCAGGCGAGTTTGCTGGCCAATTAAGAGCAGAGATGCCACGGTCCT